CCCCAAGAACATGGAGGAGTCGAAGGTAAGGTTCGAGTACAAACCGACGTTCACCGCTCAATCAAGGAGAAAACAGGAGCGCCAGAACGAGGGTCATGATGGACAAGAAGCGTTTGGGAACGTTGATGCCAGCGATCTACGTCTACGGTGGTACACAGTCTCCGAGCTCGGCGAAATTTTCTGCGAGCTATGCAGGAATGAGATGCAGAGGAACAAATCGAGAGTACTGGAATCTGATACATCCTTCAATCCATCCACGTGTGTGAATTGCTGTGCGAACTGGAATGCCGACACGAACGGTGTCGCAAGGTCAAGGAATGGGGGGAAGCTCTATACGCGACTTTTCGCCGAGTGCAAAGTTGCGATCCCGGGCCTCCAACATCATGACTACGATTATACGGGAGCTTGCATACTCCAAATTGAAGAAGGAGCTATCCCACGTAGGCTTCGTGAGCATGACGTTGGATCAAGCGGCGCATTTTTACAAGCACAAGCATGGAAAACAGTTGTGCGCGACCAGAGATGTGGTCATGTGCAGCGAAGGAAATGAGGAGAAGACCACCATCTACGTGATTGACAGGGATCTTGGCAACGTCGCCTACTCATCATGGATCAAGAGCGTGCTTGATCAGGGGACGATGTATGACCTCCTGGGGCAACGGGGGAAGAAACAATAGAGATGTACAGCTACACCATCAACCTGGTGGAGATGGCGGACACGGCTGAAGGGGGCGAACTGCAATGAGGCGGTGTGGACCTTGCCTTCAATCCGTGCGGGGATCACAGGACCTTCAAAACGACGTTGGAGCGGGGATGTGACACCATTCCATGCTACATCCCAACACCTGGGGACGTAAGTAGCATCAACCTACCATGGGCGTATGCGTCAATGACTGATCCCAGATTCTTCCTGAAGGGTGCCATTTTGGAGCAGATCGATACACAACAGCTTGGCAAAAGCATCAACTTCTGCATTTATCCTTTTGATGACGCTCCATTTGGTAGAATCGGCGATGAGTGTTCTGTGTTTGGTACGCGAGATCAAGCCAATCAGCTATCTCACGACCTTTGCAGGATCCTTCGCCACAAAATCGGCAATTGCCGAGGAAGTACTTTCAAGTGTGATGAAGGTGGATGGGTCGACATTGACGCGATCATCACGGACTATGGGGTGGACCTATTCCCACCGAACACTTCGAAAGAGAGACGCTACATGGGCATTATAGAAGTGATGAAGTGGCAGGAATCTGGATGCAAGAAATCGAGATTTCAGATCCTAGCAGTGAGGTTTCCGAGCATCATGAACCCGAATGACATGAGGGCTGCCAGACAGGAACTGCTCTACATGGCTCGCACTCAGGACGAAGTCAACGAGATATTCAGCAGATGCGCTGGGTGGTACAGGCCTTGGTGTATTCGGGCCACGACTGGCCACAGCGACTTTGGATTCATGAGTTCTTCCGCACTTGCGAACAGGTATTCCGCGAGGATGGGTGACGTCCTCGGAGGCGCCTTCCACGTGACATATGTGGAAAATCTGCCAAACATCGTTCGCTGCGGGCTAGTCCCCGGCGGGATTGGTGGCGGGGGCCGGTTGGCACTGCACTTCGGGGCATTCGCTCCATGGGACAAGATGAACCTAGCGACGAAGACTTCGCTACGCAACCTGCGGGTCGGGGGTCCAATCGCGATCATCTACGTTCCCAGTGCAACTCTTGCACGGTACGGAGCCGGAGTCGCATTCAACGGGACGTTTATGGTGTTCGACGTCATCCCGTTCTACGAAATCAAGTCCATATGGATCGGGAAGTGCAACGAAGGGAAAGGCTTGGACATCGAGAACGTCAAGCGGGCGTACTCAAAATGCGTCGAGAACAAGATCTGTCCTGGTTTCGTTGGTTCGTCCCAAGAGTCGGTCCTGATGTTCCTTCAGAACGTCACCAAGGTCATCGAAGGATTGCCGGAGACTGAGGCTGGCGCTGACAATCTACACTACGTCAAAGACATGGTGGATCGTGCTTGCGCGCTGTTTCGAGGCGGCCAACATCAGGAATTGGAGACCCTGACAAATGAAATCAGAGATGAGATCAGCAAAGCCATCATCCTGAACGATGAAAATTGGGAAGGCTTGAGATGCCGGATTTGTCCATCTTGTGCGGCTACGATTCCTACATGCTTCTGTATATGCCTGGAATGCGAAGCGCAATTGATTTCCACCGGAAGATTCTACGTCAACGTCAACTCAGACGATGATGATGACGATCGTGAACCCAACGTGTCTGGGGATGCCAGGCGAGCACAGGAGGAAGCGAATGGTAATACGGCAGCGCAAGGGAGGGGTGATGGAATGGATGATGATCCCGACGATGATGAGATGGGCACGCAGGGGTACACGTCCGGCAACTTGTCCGAAGAGGAAGAGAACGAAGAGGACTACCGTGGCAATGACATGACTGCGCGCGACATCATCAACTCCCAACAGATGGCAATCTGCTTGGATGAGCCACGGGAGGCTCAATATATGGCGGGGTTCATTGCGCTGCAGATGTCAAGGATGTGGGGGATGTTCGAGGCTGGCGACAAGCGAACAATTGACGCCGCGCTTAAAGGGGCTCCCGCATGTCCATACCGCAACGAATTGGCGCGCTACCCCAACGTCACTGTGCTTGATCGTGCTGGTGTTGTATTGCCATCTTCTGAGGAAGAGATTTCTCGTTCTCAGAGTGTTCGATCAAGGACTTTCAGATCAGTCGAGGACCGCAACCAATATATTCGCTTTTCGACGACCAAGTGCAATGGGTTGTACATCTTCTACAAATTGTGGAGTGCGGCAAATATCCGCGACGGCACCAAGGAAGAAATGAAACTACTGGTCAGCGAACTCAAACATCCAGTGGGGGACATTGTTTACAGATGCTTCTCTCTGGCATTCAACTGCAAGTACATATCATTCGCGAGGACCGGGCTGAACCTTGGTAAACATGGGTATGAGGTTGACGTGAGCGCTATTATTGCAGCCGCGGACCCGGGCAAGTGTGACGGACCGCTGCTTCACTGGTGCGTCCGGAAAGGACATTGGCTTTCGGACGAGCGCTACAAGAAGTACATCCGAGCCCGGGACGCCCAACACAACTTGGACGAAGAGTTCCGTCGTCGTATCACTAGACTGGCCATTGTGGACAGACCTATGTGATGCAGAGGTGGATCATCGTTGCATTTACGGCATGGTGCGGGCCAGTCCCCATCCATTGCCAGCAACATGTTGATTTCACTACGGTGGGATGAGTTGCGATGTGGAGTAACTTCGCTTGTCCAAGGGACGTACCTATGCATATACATATTCCGACGACTATGGCTTTTCGGATATTCATGGATGGACTCTATTACCTTATGGATGCTTTCATTTCCTTATATTATTCGTGGTGTCTGGGATGGCTATCTTTTGCATATATTGTTCGCCAATTCTTTGCCGGTGACACGCAGATGGCTTTTGGCCATGCGCAATTGTGAAGTTCTTTGGCCAACCCATTTCGGTGGATGACAGCTGCGTGATGCGCAAATACGGCAGCTGGGCTCTTCTACGACTGCGTTGTGGTAGGAGGTATAATGCCTCATGCCTCTGTGTATAGAAATGTACTGTGGTCTGCGGACGCACGAGTTTTGATTTAATCGCACCCGGCTGAGTTTCACACGAATAGATGGCGTCCGAGCCGTGGCCATTGGGACTTGTTGTGATGTTTGGACCGCATGATGAACAGTGCGACCCAAATGGGGGATGTTAAAACCCTCCTGGCCCCGTGCCTAAATTGGGAACCCGTTCTGAGATCCATGTTCTCTTTGGTTGAAGTGTTCCGATGGATGCCACAATTTGGCTCAAGACTCAAGTAGGGCTTATGGTCTTGCATGGACTTGCATATACCTGTGTTCGATCCGAGGGAGAGGAAACAGGTGCGATCGCGCTGCAGATCTCGAACTTGTGTGGTTATTGAGGAACACCCCTTACACATTTTACACTGGTCTGGCTGTATCGGTTTAGCCATATATCTTTACCACGTGATTGAGTACTATTCAGCTGGAAGCTTGGTGGAGAGCGTTTCACGGGACGTCATCTTGCGCTCTTGACATACCCGGCGTCAAGGAGATGGATGGACCCGATGTGTCCTCTTCCCCAAAAAAGGGGACTTCCTACAGGGACACACATGGAATGATTGTTGCTCACTCAATTTCGCACCTTACATGAAGGCGACAAGCCTTTCTTGGGTTATACAGACCTGTCATGCTTTTTTGCTGTTTGGGGTCAAGGCTGGTGTAATTGTAACTCACCTGGGTCAGATTTATGAAGGTGCTGCAGAATCCACTCATGACCTTTCCACTGCTGTGGTGCCACGCAGATGATCCCCAAATAGCCCTCACAAGTAGCCCCACATGGGGGGGGTTGAACTCCCAAAGGCTCGTCCGTCAAACAGGCGCTGAAGCTTCCCTTGCCCCGCCAAAGACACAGGCTACTCTGCTTGTCCGTCCGAACTCTCCATCACCACCACCTCCATGACCAATGCAAAGCTCCTTCATCGGGTTCCTCGGCGCTGGCCTGTTGTTGAACTTCCGCGATTTTCCTTGGCCCGGGGCTTGGTGGATCTTGACACATTGATGTATGTCATGTTTCGAGCTTGGCAGGCATTGGGTGAACATGCATCATCAATTGGAATGTGTCTGCCATTTTGGCTCAAGCCTGAGCCAAATTGGCAGACGGCCTTTTTGCTGTGTGTGACACATGGCAACCCAAAGCCACATCCCTCAATGAGGGTTGACAAGAGCACCAGCCGTGCTGACCAGCAGAGAGACGGGAAAAAGGATGCGAGGGCAGCAGGGTAGCACAAATGATGCTTGACACATGGATGAAGGCTGAAACCGTGCCCAGCCTGTGCTTCTCCGAGCTTCTTTGCAGTGTCGGTGTTTTGACAGTTCACAAGTAAGTGAAGAGCTGATGCAACTTGCCGGCAAAGTTGGCTCGGTGAGAGGCTAGATCCCAGGCACAAATCCACCGCATAGCGTTTTCCGCCATGAATGCGCACGCGCGCTCCAATCTGCTGGCTGTGCTCCTGCGGAAAGCTCAATTGATTCGGGGTAGCCACCTCGCCGGTTTCGCGTGGCGCGTTCAAGACTTTCGCTTGTCTTTCGTCCGAGGCTTGCGCTCTTCGCCTTCGCGGGACTCCGAGCCTTCGTGCCACCCCAGCAGCCACTGCGTGGTGCCAGCGCCGCGGCGGCTGTGGCAGCTGCCTCCGCTGCGTTGCCCGCGGGAGCGGCGGATGAGTACCTGAACTACAACATGACAGGCAGGGAAGTGCACAGATGCGCAGGGACGCAGGTTGGGGCGAGGAGCGACATGTTCAGACTTCGGCAGGCGAATACACGCCTTTCATGATCATCGGTTACTTCGGCCTGACCACCTTCCTCACGGCCTTTGCCTTCGGCTCGTACCTCATCCTGACCAAGCTCAAGATCATATGAGCGCACCAACTCTGCCGAGCGGAATGAATTTTCCTATATAGAGCCAGCAGCCTGAAGAGAGGGAAGTTGCAAAAGGTGCTCTGAGTAGCATTGCATCTCGTGCTTGTATTAAAAACTGGTCTTGTGACCAGGATTTACTTGCCTTTCCCCTTGAATATTGCTTCTGGAACCGTGTGCCGAACTGTGCTTTTGCTTGAAAGGACACATTTTTTGGAACTAAATGGTGATGCATCACGCGCCCAATCGTTCCAACTGGAAACTTGCATGATCCCAAACATGAACATAATATTGCTTCTCCGCCATCAACAAGCCACGTTCAGTAGGCGTGGATGCGCAATTTGGCAATCAGACTCGGCTTGCAGGAAGGATAGGTTGCATCGGATCATCCCTGTGTGGAAACGATGGCTGTCACTCGTACACGCTCAAGCTTGGCAACTTTGCTGCTGCCTGGCTTCGATTGGCAATATTTGCCGGGCTAGAGGTTTTGTGTGAATTTAGAATGAAGCATCAGCATTGGGAATGTTAAACTAGTAATGCTAGTTATGCTATGTCCAAGCTCCATTCGCCGACTCAAACACCTTTTTGCCCCGCCAGGAAAATGCCGTCAGAAACATGGACTTTATGTTGCAGCCGCCTCGCCGGTTTCGCGTGGCGCGTTCAAGACTTTCGCTTGTCTTTCGTCCGAGGCTTGCGCTCTTCGCCTTCGCGGGACTCCGAGCCTTCGTGCCACCCCAGCAGCCACTGCGTGGTGCCAGCGCTCCGCTGCGTTGGGCGCGGGAGCGGCGGATGAGTACCTGAACTACAACATGACAGGCAGGGAAGTGCACAGATGCGCAGGGACGCAGGTTGGGGCGAGGAGCGACATGTTCAGACTTCGGCAGGCGAATACACGCCTTTCATGATCATCGGTTACTTCGGCCTGACCACCTTCCTCACGGCCTTTGCCTTCGGCTCGTACCTCATCCTGACCAAGCTCAAGATCATATGAGCGCACCAACTCTGCCGAGCGGAATGAATTTTCCTCCACAGAGCCGTTGAATTATGTACCAAAACAGGCTTGGTGCCTGATCACACACACACACACACGTCATGTGGTTTCTCTAGGTCTGCAACATCCGATTTTATCCAAACTCGAAGTCGTCAGGGCATATCGGTGCTGTTGTTGCTTGCTTGCTTGGCTTTGCTTGAATCCAGGCCTACGGCATGAGTTTAACCGGCAGCCGTTTATTTCATCAAAGCCACCATACTCCAAGCAAGATCCAACACAGTGGAACACGTTCAGTTTGCTTGATCCATTGGAGTCATTTGTGTATGATCCCAAGATTGCTTGTGAACAACACATGGAATTGTTGCGCAATGGCTGACACACGCGACCATGAGGCTTTGGCACGATGTGTTCAAAGCTTGCCGTAGAATGCGTGACTTGCACCTAAGGCTTCGTTGCCTTGGGCTGGCCGGGCTCAGAGATAGTACGATATTCAGCATTGGGATCGCAGACAAAGACGGAGTCACCTGAGGATCGAGTCCCCAGGTGGAAGAGGAGGAGTGGACTTGTTGGCTTGGTCAGCTTGTTTAGTTCAAGGTTTTTCCCCTTGAGGTGGATTGCCCGGCTTATGTTGTGGATCAACTAGCGACTGTACTGTCTCCTTGTCCAAACTTTCGACCTCAGGATGAGCAGTGCTGCAGAATTTGCCGGCAAGGTGAAGAGGCACCTTGCAATGCGCGTGTTTTGCTTGTCACCTCCCCACTTCTCATTTCTCTCCTGCCATGTATTCTGGATATGTCGTTCAGCTCGAAGCAGGCTGGAAAGCTCTATTGCCCATGCAGATGCGCTGGCAGCATCAAGTGGATTCACGAGTGCCAGCCCTGGTGCGTACATGTCAATATCTTGAGTTGTGTACATTCAGTACAAAGAGCCTTGTCGAAACCCGTCCAACAGTTGTTGCGTTGTCATGCGGTACGATTGCTTCGCTGCTCTAAGGGCTTGCTTGCAAGCTTGGCTAAAAAGCCACGAGCGAAAAGCTGTTTGGATCCCAGATCGAGATGTAGAGCGATGCACTGCACACATGTGGACGAAACTCGCGACGGGAGGCTTGTGAATTGTGCGGTTATTCCTTCGACTTTATACCAGCCAGGGCCTGAAGACGTGAGCTTGTCACATGTGCCACGTTCACAATAGCTGCTTACTTTATATCAGATAGTCATCAGTCCATCCCTTTGACATGCTGTTTGCTCTTACGAAGGACGGCACCCGCACATTCAGATGATGAGGTATATTCCAAGAACGCGCCACATCGGCTGACTCTGGCCGACTGGGCAGCTGCCTTATCCTGTCTTGCAAGCGAGAGCTTTCATCATTCTCCCGCCATGTTCCGGGTCTATCTACGTTGCCCTTTCTGGCTTGTTCCGATAAGAGGGGCCAAGAATGACACTGGTCGGGCAAAGGGTCCCATGACACACCCCGCCATGGCACAGCCGAGCTTCGCGCAGCGACAGGTCGGTGCTCTCTGCTCGTCCAGTTGGCAGGTGTGGCCGGAATTCGTGATTTTGAGGTACTGCACGAACGAGGGAATGGGCGTGCACCGATGCTTGCTTGTCAGGTGAGCATTCGCGTGTTGCGCATACTTTACGCATCTTGGCTGATCAGACCAGACGCATTCTGCAGAGACGTTTGCCCGACTTTGGTTTGGTGGTTCTGTGCGACGATGCACTGGCCGATTCGAAGGCTCGACTTTTTGCATGACCTGAGGGTGTCTTTGCAATCGGACGCTATGCATGGATTTTCATTTGTGGCTGGGGGTTCCTCGATTTTAAGACTCACCCACCTGTTGTGCAAGCCAATATTTCCTGAGGCGATTGGCCTGTGGGGTGCGCTCAGCCGCCTTAAGCAAGAAGAGCTTTGGGCGGGAGTGAGGAACTGAGAGTTGGGCATGGTCATTCGGCCAGGCTTCCTGCTTCCCGTCCTCACCATCACTGCTGCTCGGTCCATGTTTGGGCGAGCCAGGCCGGCGGAGGAGTGGGGCATGTTTTGAAGAGATGTAACCTCATGAAACGTCCAGGCCGGAATTCAACTCAGCCTGGCATGCCTATTCCTCAGGCTTGATGCAATCAACTCGAAGGCCGGTGCGCCTGGATCTGAACCTTCCTAGCTAAGGTGTTGACCCTGACTTTGGACATTTTCATCGGGGAATGCCTGTCTTTGGCAGGCAGGCGGAGACGGGTTTGATGTGGCCTTGACTCCGGCTTTTGCAGGCATCGCCTTCATCTACCTGCTTTCGTTCCTGACTGCTGCATCGAACTGAGTTCTGCCAGTGGCTGTCGAAGGTCCGGCCATTCGGCGGGGATGGGGCAGGTCCGTGGCCCCGTGGCGGACCCGCCAGGAAGCGAAGGCCGGGCACAGTCCTCCCCCCCCCTCCCGTTGGACGACTTCGCTCAACCCAGGCAGCTTGCCTGCGGCGCCTGAGCACGAGGCCAAGGGGCCGAAGGGGACCGGACTGCCGCTTTCTATCCGAACTTCGGAGATCTGAGATACACGCAGGCTTTGGAGCTGCGTATTTTTAAACCCGAGTGCAAGAGCAGCGTGGAGCCGTTGCTCAGTTTAAACCGCATGTTGATAGAACAAGGGCTGGCTATTTCCAAGAGCGGGGAAGCGTCATCATGACGGGACCCACACGGATTTCTTTCCTGCCTGTATTGCAGAGAGAGAGAGAGAGAGACGTCAAGAGAGACAGAGAGTTAGATCGAGAGTGTGGAGAAGAGATTGCTAGCAGTGGCAAAAGCGAACCATTGTTCCTTACCTTGAGCCAATTGAACCAGCCAGGCACAGATCCCGGACCAGCCGGAGAGTGCTTCGGTTGGCATCCAGGCGTGGCAGAAATGTTTCCTTTGTCTTCAGGGAAGGCAGCTTCCTGGAGGGCGTGTACGGGTTTGAAGGGCAGCCCCCTCCGCGTTCAATAGAGCACGTCAGAAGTCACAAATTCACAGTGTGGCCTCAGAAGCTGTGCTTTCAACTTGCAGCCCTCAATTCAAGTCTTCTAACTCGCACGCCCGCGTGCAGCTTTGTTGATTCCAGAGCCTTGCTCTGGACAGGCACATTGTGATTTTGCCCGACAGATGATTTTTTGAGCAACTGCTGCACAGGTTGACACTAGACAGCTCGTGGAGGATCATGATCCTGAAGAGGCAGCAGTTCCAATGCATGATTTTTTTGCAACATTTTGTTGGGACCAAAGGGTGTGAATCGTGAACCATCGTTCGCATGGCATTGCGTGCCGGTATTGGGAGCAGGTATCCCCACTGTCTTGACATGCACACTGAGATTGACGTCTCAGGACCTTTTGATCATCATGGGCTTAAGCGGCAATCCAGCAGGGAGCCTAGACTACTTGTCATGGCAGAACTGATTTCGGAGCATTGCGTCGCATCAAGCCGAGGTTCGCTCATTGTTGAGCATGATCATTTTTCTGTCCGCCAATGTTGCGGGCATCTACTGTTTCTTGGTGCCTTTGCCTGCTTAGCGTTCGCATTTGGACATTGCCGTCCGGTCGTGTTTGGAGTATGAATGAGCCCAAGCCGCGTCAGTGTGCTTCAGTAAGACGCCAACCAGCTTTCATTCTTGATGTGTCCAATTTAACTAAACCATCCTACGAGACACTGGCGGGCTCGAGTGCATAGTCTGCCAGGGGCTCCCATCATTCCTCGGGCGGTGGGCCATCCGCTCTGCGTGCCGGCCTTATACAGTTGCTTTCCTCGCGTGTTTTTTTTGCTTTTCTTGAGCGGTTCCAGAGATTTAAGTTTTAAGATTGCTTTCGGGGCATCCATGAATAGTAGCCATGATACAGGATGTAGTCAGTGTCTCATGTCAGCCAGGTTGCAAAGCAGCACTACTGAGCGTGGCCACACAAAAACAAATACCTTAAGAGTTGCTTATTGGTTGACCCGTGCACAGTGTGCGGAGGATTTTGACAGGAGTGGTTGTCATTTTGTGGCTTCTTTACTGGCATCGTGCTGAGCTTGGGTCGGACACGGGGAAAGCATGGGTTTCCTGCGCTGAGGATGCCGTGGATCGAGGCGGGAGGGAAAGGAGCGCGCCAGACCGATGGGGAAGATTCTTGCACTTGCCATTCAGGCACAGTTGCCGAATGTCATTGGACCGGGTTGTTCGACCTTGATCTTCTCGGTAGATTTGGAGCTTGGCATTGGAATCTTAACATAGCGAGGGCCAGGTCCACCACTGTTACCAAGGGCCTCAACAAGACATCGGATTTCGCAAGAAGAAGAAGAAGAGGAAGAAGAAGAAGAAGAGGAAGAAGAGGAAGAAGAGGAAGAAGAGGAAGAAGAGGAAGAAGAGGAAGAAGAGGAAGAAGAGGAAGAAGAGGAAGAGGAGGAGGAGGAGGAAGAGGAAGAAGAAGCAGTTGCAGTTGCCGGAGATAGACACGAACAGCAAGAAATAGTTACCGCAAAAGCAGCAGCCTAGGAAGATGCCAGCGTTTAACTGATTTGCGAATACAATCGTCCATCTGCATTTTAAGTGAGTACGTGCGACACATGCACTGCCAAGATATGTGATCTACAAGTTGCAAGACTCTGCCAGCCGGTTCAACATGCAACATCATTTCAAGTCTCTTCATACAGGGGTACAGGAAATTCACGAAGGAGCATTGGTACTTGTAAGGAATGTCAGAAGAAGAGCTCAGACAAAGCCGTGCTAAGGGGACAACTTGCATTTTTTTGGAGACATGTGGGGAAGGTTGAGGCAACCAATGGACTTGACAGAAAAATGCATTCTGGAGAAAGCAAACAAAGAAAACCGCAATCCCAATTGCTCCGAGAAATGTGTAGAAAGACGGCGCTCACTGGTAAAGGTGCTTCGCGAAAGGCAGCAGAGTTGCAAGCTATTGCGCACAAGACGGATCTACGAAGGGAAGGAAGGGGACGCTAGATGTGCAGTCGGCAAATGCGTTCCAGTTCCGTGGGGATTGGAGTCATTCGCTGCGCATCCTGACCACATGTACCATAGTGGAACAGCTTTAGCTTCGAGGTGGAGCCCGGCAGCAACAAAAGAACAGAATTTGAGCAAGACGCCATGTGGGTGATACTCACAGCTAGGGACCCTTCCAAGTGTTTGGCTCCCTCTGGTTTTCCTTCCAAACCATCCACAAAGGGGTTCCCTGTTTCGAGACAGACCTGTGTCAACCGCGCATGTGCAATGCTGGATCTGCGCGGAAGTACGCTCGAGATAGGCTTCCATGCCGGATTTTCTCATCTTGCTGACATGGCCACTGCCCCAGCTGGACTTCTTGGCCGATGCCTCGATGTGCCTCAATGGCTGAGAGCTTGAGGTCTGGGGAGTCAGATGAGCCTAGGCGCAGCTCTTAAAAGCCTTCACTGTCGGAAGCAATCTGCCTTGCAACAAAGTGGCACTATGCGAGGCCTTCACTACTCCCCGCAATGGGCGCGAACATCCTTTTGGTCAAAGCCTTGGCTCCTGCTTTGGCCCTTCTGCCTTGGCTCCTGCCGAGGATGTGCTTGCCGTTACAGTGGGGTTCCTGCCTCGGCTGTGGAACAGGACGCTGTCGGCCGCAATGCGTTATGGACGGCAGGTATGCACTCGTGACCGTTTGCGCCGTTGGCATGGCGCTGTCCCCAGCGATTCAGACTTGTCTCTTTCGTGTGTGTGTGATCCACTTCAGTGTGCAAGTTCCAGCAGGGAGGAAGCAGCTTTTTGTATGGTGAGGTAGATGAATGCCAAGTGGGAGTAAGGCTTTATTCTGGGTTCCGGGAAAACTTTCTCAGATGTGGGCGTTGGATCCTGCAGCTTTCTCGGATGGCTCAGATCCTTGCCATCCTGCTGCCCGGCGCTTTGACCGGCCAGACCTCCCGGAACTGGCAGGCTCGGCTTGGTGTCGTGTGTCTCAGCCAAATTCGGGCCTGTTCTGCAGACGCGAAGGCGCTGAGGATGCTGGTTGGGGTCAGCCAGACCCAATTGAGCAACGTATGGTGACGCACTCAGCCATCCTTGGAAAGCCACTGTCTATTGGACAAGATCCTCTAGCTGGTTTGAGAGGCGCCATATAAATATCCCTGAACATAATCATTGTTGCGAAGGCTTGACTTGCGTGCGGAATTTGCTCTCGAATCAGGAAGGATCACATATTGTGCTGACAGCAGTGCTTTGGGACTTGGTGCAGGGTGCATTTTTGCTGGCACTGAATCAAATGCCATCACTCATCCAAGTCGCCGCACTGTCTGTTAAACTTTGCGCCGTGAGGTGGAAGCTCCAACACTTCGCTGTGGCGATTCTGCAGCTAGTGTCCACTGCTCAGCTGATTCTGCAGTGAGTCGGACTGTCAGCTTGCCCACAGGGTGCTGCCTGCCTACGTGGGCCACCTGGTGTTGTGCTTGCTCAGTGGCCCAGTGCGCCAGTGCGATGCGATGCGCAGGGCTTTGAGACCTGGCCATCAATCTTCAAATGCAACTTAGGTACTTCACCTGTCGCAGCATGCTCGCGCGTCCATCATGAACGCCCACCCGCTGCTCACCTTGGTGGGAGCCCCAGCTGCTTGGGAGGGCTTGGCCGGGCGGTTGGTACACAGGTTATGCAGCTGTTCATTGGCTATGTGCACCTGTGGGGCTTCGCCTTCATGGAGGGTTGCTTGGCCGGCGCCACTTGGCTGACTGGGGCCATGCCGTTGCCACTCTCCAGGCCTAGCTCTAGGCCGATGGGAGCTAAGGTCACGTTGCCAGAAGTCGTCCAGCCCAGCACTGAGCCTTCACGCAAAGGAGCAAGGCTTCGGGTCAAGTCGAAAGCTCTGAGGCGGGCCTCCTTGAACTTCTTCGTCAGTGCCATCAATTGCCACAGGCGCCGCCGTTGTTTTGACTGAGGGTGGCGGGGGAGGGTTGGTCTTGGGTGTTTTTTGCAGGTTGAACTGTGAGTGGAGCTGAGGCGCTTGTTCGGAACTATGAGCGAGGAGCTGGGTGTCGCTGCCCTGCTTGGCATTGTGACTGTGCTTGGCATTGTGATGCCATTCTCTAACTGGAAGCTGACAACCAATGGCCGTAAAGCCGTAAATGTGGTGAATACCGCTCGGCACATTTGACATCTTCCCACAGCCAGGCGGCAGAGAGGCATTGTCGCTGTCTCAGCTTGCGCTTGACCGGTCAAGTCAGAAGCCAGCGATGCATGGGATTGATGGTTAGGATTTTGCGAGCAAGGCATCCCAGTGACGCCTTGCGCGACCACAGAGACTAGATAGTTCTCATGGCAGTCACCACAGAACTCTCATTCAATGAACACCTTGGTTTTGAGCTGCCCCGCACTTCAAATTCGTGAAAACCTTGGTATTAGGGAGGGGGTCATAGTCATAGCATGTCTTTCTACCCGTAGCCCTAACTCCAGTTACTTTTTGTAGGGCTTCAGGAGTGGCTGTATAAGCCTGGCAATGCAACATCCCTGGCCAGAGCTGTTGCCAATACATTGAGACAGGGGGATTTCGGATAGGAGTGTGTTGCATATGTACATATATTGAATATAAAAGTGTATATCTATATATATATATATATTTCTGGGCCTGCGGCCTCTAGCCGGCTACGCCTCTTTGAAGTTATACCATGTCATGTCATGTTTTTTGTATGAGAAACGTATCCTGTGCTATGATGTGGCTGGTTAGGTTATGCATGTTGCCCACCCCAACCCCAGATGATGCCGGGGATGCCAGCTTTCTGGGCCCCAGCCGGGCCCCAACCCAGAAGGCTGACATGGGGTCGCGCGCGCGCACCTGCCAGAGGCCCCAGAAACAGCAGCCCAAAAAGAACAGCCCGCAAGCCAGCCCGGAAACGCAAATGCAACAAAACACCGTAAATAGCAGCGCCCGAAAACCAACAGGAAAAAGCAAGGACCGCGCAGCACGCGCGCCAGCCACAGCATAAGCAAAACGGACAGAACAACAACCCAACGCTCAGCACAGCAGTTTTTTGCGGTATTTACAGCGTTTTGTAGAGCGAGAACCCAGCATCGCCGGCATGCCCGGCAGCGCTTGGCGCCCAAAATGCGCAAAAATGAGCCTCGCTTGTATCCCTCCGATACCTTCTAAAAAGCAGTGCTTCACGGGTTGAGAGGCTTTTTGGAAGGAAGTCTTGATGATGCAGACCAAGCCCCGCTGAAGCATCACCCCGGCCCAACCCCAGACCCTGATGACGTCAGCCACGCGGCCTAAACCCTGCATATACGCGATGTTTTGCAAGGGTTTCCCACAGGCATGCAAAACCGCAAGCCCGAGCTGGTGATGCAGAGGTGCCGGATTTAGGCAGCGCATCACGACCAAGTGGCGAGGGGCGGCGGCACCAGGGTGGCCCCTATAGCTAAAGCTAGCAGGCTAACTGCCTAGTGGCCCCAAGGAGGCGTAGCCGGATTTAAGGGCTGCCGCCCAGTGCCGCCGACCCCTGCTTGCTGACAGGGGACGTTGTCATGACAATTATGACTACGCATTTTTTGTCGGGTTTAACGGCGCACTTAAAGCATATATGAAAAAGAAGAGCAGCACGATAATGATGATGTTGTTGATGATGCAATTTCTACCCAACATAAGGGATGCTGAGAAATATTACTATGCATTCGCATTATCGCCAGCAGTTATGATGATAATTGTTACTTTGCATTTTTAGCATCACCAGGAGTTGTTCTGATAATTATGACGACGCATTCCCTGCATTTCAAGCAAGCCACTGCGGGATAAACTCGCATGATAACAAGCACCTTGTTGAATTTTACAAGAAGTGCCCGGGTGTGTGGAAACTCGAGCAGGAAAACCATGTTGGGGGCCTTTTTTTTTGGTTCTCAAGACTTCGATGTATTGCTGTGGATGCGAAGTGTGGACTTTGTGTCATCGCTTCGTCTTCGTGAGAAGTAAGCCGTTCGGAACACCTCGGGGTCGGGATGCAATCAGATGATGATGATGACGATGATGATGAACATGAGAGTGATCATCATCATCATCATTCTCCTGAAGACAATCATCACTACGCATCCTCAGCATCACCAGCAGTTAACGTCATCACTATGCATCCCCAGCACCAGCAGCAAATGATGATGATGATGATGATGAACATGATGATGATATGATGATGAACACCACCATCATCATTTTCATCATCATGTTCATCATGTTCATCATGGTCATCATGATCATCATCATCGTTTTCATCATCATCATTTCCATCTTCATGATTATCATCATTTTGATCATCATGTTCATCATCATTATCATCATCATCATTTTCATCATCATGTATCATGATCACCATCATCAGGATGATGTGATGATCATCATCACTACGCATCCTCAGCATCACCAGCAGTTAACAATCATCACTATGCATCCCCAGCATCAGCAGCAGTTATCATGACATTTATGACAACGCGTCCTCTCCATTTCCAGTCGGGTCTAACGGCACACTTGAAACGTAATGAAAAGGAAGAGCGCCACGGTTTTGATGATGATCCGGATGCTGTGAACCATCACCGAACATCAGTGGTGATGATAGTCATCACTAAGACAAGGACAAAGACAAACCCTTCCCATGCGCCTCCCCTTTGGAGAAAGGGGTCGGCGGATATATATGTCAGTCACGTGCGTATCGTAGGTATGTACAAACACTGAGGGGCCGAAGAGAATCAAAGCACATTGTCCGAGGCCGATGCCGCCGCACTGGGCCACACTGAAGCTGGCGCTGGTACATGTGCGGGCATCAAAGTGAGAGCAGAGCGCCCCTCTTTGAGAGCCTTTCACTTTGTGTCCAGGCACACACCCTTCGTGCTTTGTGAATAGTAAACTACTTGAAGTCAAGGCTAGATTTGACACACAGCCGTTTGAGAGCTCTGTTTTTCCTGGTTTGCTTGCCTGAGAAGAAATCATCTGAAAGCGGTCAGGTGGCGATCCACACGCCGCTGGTCTGGTTGACGTGGTATCTTCCTGCGTACCTGCTTGACAGGAGCGCTGGGTTGCAATGTATGCACATCCTTGCCTGGATGCATGGAGAATATACCGAAAAAACAATTTGTGAGGGTGCTGCACTGCTCAACCTGCTCCGAGCGGTCGCAGGCTTCTTGGTGATGCCCTGTTTCCGATGCTCTTAGTGGATCAGTCAGGCACAGATCAAACGCGTTTGCTGCCAGCGACAATGCGCATGAAGTTTTCCATTTGGCAGAAAATAACTGCAAACTGCCTTGCCTATGCGGCAAATATGGGCACGACCGTTTTCTACGGAATGCGGACATAAGACAAGCACGGGTGTGAGCCTTCGTTTTGGTGCAGGTGATGTCTTGGAGGGACTTCACAGGAGAGATCCCTTTTTTCTGTCCAGCCAGCTCCCGAGCTACCCGTTGAGTGGCCATTTTGGTCGCCGAGACCTTTGCCACTTGCACTCAGGCCCGGCTTCAACGCGAAGCAGCCACTTGGCCTGCACGGATATATTGGCCCGAAACAGAGGAACCATAAACGAGTTTCGTGTGGGGCATGTTGGGTCCATGGTAATCCTTTCTGAATGCCCTGGTTCGGAACAAGATAGGTCCCACGCGCAACATGGGCAGCAGTTGGTCCGTGTGCCTGCACGGATATATTGGCCCGAAACAGAGGAACCATAAACGAGTTTCGTGTGGGGCATGTTGGGTCCATGGTAATCCTTTCTGAATGCCCTGGTTCGGAACAAGATAGGTCCCACGCGCAACATGGGCAGCAGTTGGTCCGTGTGCAAGCAGGAACGATTTGGGAAACTCGCTGTGCTGTAACTACGTTTCCAGAAAGAACATGTTCTGCCGTTTGCGCAGTGTCGATAAAATCGAAGAATCAGTTGCAATCTCTTGCCACTTACACATGGTCTAAGATATGAGCCATGTCTGCGCAGGCAAGCCGGCAGGTGAGGGCCAGTCTTTGTTCATTCTGGAGCTGATGCAGCTGTATGTCCTAGTCTTGCCCTCAAGATTGAGAGCCGCCATAGAGCATCCTGCTTTTTGCCGGACCTGTATTGCTGTTGTTTCCTTTCTTAAAAAGGGTCGGTCCCTGTTCAGGTCCTTCAGTGCATTCGCATCTTAGAGACCTCTCCCGTGATGACCAAGCTCATCTCGTTTGGGCTTGGCGCTCAGCTCCCGGCCATGTGGATCGAATGGGGTGGCTCAATTTGCATATCCAGCTGGCCAAGCACGAGTCTTTCATGTGAAAGAAACACAACAAACAGATTTACGGGCTTGACACGGTGTTCTGGGTTTTGGGAGGGGGGCTTAGAACCTGGTGCTTTCTCGCATTTCTGATCACAAGAACTCCCGATTCCTGGAGCCAGGCTGCGCTGCGCACTGCGCGGCCTCGGCGTGAAGCATTTCTTGGCCGGGGTCCGAGGTGTGTGTGGTTCAAAACTCGGGACCTTCGAGATGGCTTCATGCTGATTCCCTTAAAGCGTCTCCAACAAAGGACAGTCAGTTTGTTCAGGCTCCACGGGGAGAGAAAGATCGGGAGAGTCAGAGGGTCAGATAGAGCTTAGCCTCGGCTGTTGTTTTTTGAATATTGAATCATATTGATGGATATCCGCTGAATCGTGGAAGGTTGGGGAGAACTTGCCGGCAGAAGATCCAGATGCTCCTGATGCTGATGGTACGGTGGGAGATGCGGAGGCCCTGATCTGCCCTTGTGTGAAGTCTTTTCTGGAGCACTCAGGCAAAGTCGCAAGGCTTGTGGTGCTGGGTTGCCAGAGGCAGAGTGCTGGGAGCAAGGAGCTCAGATAGCCACGGCTTGCCAGCAGTGTCGCGGCTTTCGTTGAGGTGGTCGCCGCCGCTGTGCTCTGCTGCTGGCTGGTGATGGCAGGGGTCCTGAGGCCCTGAGGCCCTGAGGCCCTGAGGCCCTGAGGCCCTGAGGCCCTGAGGCCCTGAGGCCCTGAGGCCCTGAGGCCCTGAGGCCCGGTACTGGAAAGGCTCTCCAAGGCGATGCGGTGCTTGCCACGGCGGCATGGAAGAGAAGCTCTGCACAGCACGGGAGCACAGCTCAGGCAATGGTGTTGGGGCTCCCGCTGGCCCTGGGCAGGCGGGCTTTCTGTGCACTCCCCCTCACACTTTCCTGCTTTTGCCCAACTGCTTCAGGCTTATGGTGCGCTTCATCCTGTCGTCACAGGCACGGCCACACCCTACTGGTACCCTTTGTGGCCAGTATGAGTGCTGGATCCCAAGCGCATTCTTTTTGTTGTTCCTCT